ACCAATCAGCAGGGAGTTGAGATTGATGAACTATGGCTGATGGTGGAATGGGCAATTGGTTGTCCTAAATCACTTGCCAATTTGAACTCCTTTGACTTGGTGGTTGACATGTGTCCCAATGAGTGAGGATTTCCAATATGAGTAGCCTGACTGTGATGAGTGAGTTGTTTGGTGCTGAATTCAGAAGACCGGTCACTCATCTAGCTTTCGTTTGTGGAGTCCAGTGTGTTTCCAGGGCATTTTAAGGGCTATGGCGCGATTTCCAAAAAATGAGCGGTGGCTTGGCTTGTTTTAGCTGTAGTGCAGCCCGCAGCCCTCATTTCTCCAAGTGCTGTTGCGAGCTTCTTCTTGACTTTCGCTCTTCTTCAGAGTTCCCATTGCTGGTATATAGTGATTCTGAGCAATAGCTACTGGGGAGCTTCATCCATCACTGCATGGTTCGAGCATGCCTCATGCCTGCTGTTTTGCAGACTACGGCTCTTGAGAGCAAATTAAATGATATGCAAGACAAGGAGCTGATCCCTTCTCCTATTTTCTCGGTCACAGGACCTCTTGGTTTTGATATGCTTCTGATATGCTTCCTGCTTGCGGGGGTCAGGCTTCAGGCTGAAAGTTGCGAAGCTCTTCGCAATATTGCAACTCTGCTTGCATCGGCTAGAGGCTTCAAATACAATGGTGCTCGAGGTGTTCGTGAGGTAATTACAGTCATCATTCATTTGAGTTTGTAACTTCTAGTGTGGTCGAAGTGTTGTTTTGTTTCGACTAGCTTCTCAGCAGTACTTTCACGTCGATTGATTTGCTTGAGGCTGAGATGCCAGATGGTGCTGATACCCTGCTAGGGACCAATGCCATGGAGGCTGACAAAATTGGCAAAGCAATGAGATGGACAAGATTGAACTACTGTAGGTGATGTTGTCAACCTGGCTGGGTCATTTTTGCAACGTTTGACCAAGCGACCAAGCACACTCAAACCAAGCGTCCTCGATTGTGCCCAATGAAACCCAACACGAGATTGTTTGATGACTATGCAGAGGGTTGTTCAGGGTGATCAATGGCGGGAATTTTGTCCCTCTAATCAAAGAGAGACACCAAGAAACGCAAGGAATCCCATTGAGATGATCACAAAATGCCCGTCTAGCCAAAATTGAGGCCCTTGCGGCCAAGAAGGGTTCAGCAAAGTTGGCCCGGTTGGTTTGACCGAATTAGGTTCTGTTGAATTGCTGTCCTTTTGCTTCCGTTGAATGAGCGGACGCCATTGCAGCAGAGGCGGTGCTCGATTCCATGCGAATGAATGGGCAGGCAACAAAGGGACTGCAGCTTCGAAGATTGTGAGCAATGTGAGCACAAGTTGACAGCTGAACCTGTGGAGGGAAGCGTACAGCATGTTGGATGTATTGGTCGGTGAATAGGGGAGTTGGAATCCGTGCTTCCATACTATCACCAATAGTCGTGTGATTCGTTGTTCCCGAGACAGGCCGAATGGGTCCAGCAGGCAGCGGATTGTGCGTCCTCAGCTCCATGATGATTCATGCTACGGGGCACGCATGAAGAAAGAGTGTGATTTTGTGATGATGCCGCTTCAGTCAGTTGCAGGAAGGGTTTGGCTTCATTTGCCGCATGGTGACGGAGCCGGCATCCGAAACTTGAAAGTGTTTTGTGTCCTTGTTCCGACTGAATCAAGCTTAGTGTTAGCTACGCAGCGCAGCTACGCTTCGGCTTTGCCGTATTGAATCGTTTCATGTGATGCATTGCTTATAAATTTGGTGGCCATCATGGCCAAGAAGTCTTGGATTAGGCTAGCCTTGAGGACGATGTCCAGCTGTTCCAATTCAAGTGAGTCGACCGAGAAAACTGCTGAGTCGTGAGAGACCGGAGCTCTGAGGTCCGATGGTGCTCGAGACCGGCTCTTCAAGGGAGATGGCCTTCGAGAGTGGGACTTGGACTCCCCTTTTGCATGAGGGGATTGCTGTATTTGTTCTTAAAGCTCGGGGGAGGGGGGGAGGTAGGCCGCTAACAGAGGAGAAGAGGTGGCTATATATATGGTTGTCGATCTAAAGGTCCTAGTCAGCAGTGTGTATGACGATGACCCGGAACATATCAAAATCTCATTTGGCGAAAGTTTTTTCTCGAGTTGGCGAAAGTAAATTTTTTTTTTGGCGAAAGATCTGGCGAAAGATTAAATATGTACTTTTGTATGAATGTTCATTTGCTTTCTGAACAGCTGGTGGCAGTGACTCAGAAGCTAGATGAGCTGTGGAAGTTAGATAACCTGCTGCTGCTGCGGCTGCTACCACTACCACTACCACT